AAAGAAACACAGATACCTTTATCCCGAATAAACCCAAACACTGGTGATTGATGGCAGCCTCAAGATCTTAGTGTAACTTTATAGCAGCTCATGGGATATCAAGACTAAAAAATGATTCTAGGTTTTCCCTTCTTTTTAAGGAATAGCCAAGAAATCACTTTTCTCTTTGTGGACTACTACAATTAGAGATGATATTGCTAAAGTGTGAGAAACCACTTTATCAGGCGCTCAGCATGGAGATCATAAGCAAAGAATATTGTACAATGTCCTGCATCTGGCCCTGAATTTTGTTCAAGAGGGAACAGAAAATACTTGGCTTTCTTTTTTATTACAATCTTGTAATCTCATCACTTAGAAGGCTGGGACTGATTGCCTTTCTCTCTGGGATAGTTAGTAGATTAATGTGTTTTAACTTCCTCTTGCCCTTGTTTATCTTGAATCATAGTTCTTAAGGGAAAGGATCTATGGTAGGATGGCTTAGGCTTCCCAGGGCTTCTGGTAAAATTCTTTGGGTCTTTGCCTGTTTTTCTACACAAGGGAATAAAAATCAGAAGCAAGAGAGCAGCAAGATGCTCTAAATGCTATAAATTTTAAAGCTAAATATGTATTCTTGTTGGTTTAATAAAAAATACTTTTAGTTTGAAGTAACTTTATAACTGTCGCTATCAACCAGGCAGGGGATTACTTTTGGAAGCACCAGCCAATTACTCTAAATCAGTGATTTTCATTCAGTGTGCTGCAAGTTTTAAAATATGCAATACCTGACTACTTAGTCAGGGACTGACCTCTTTTCCTTTAGATTGTCAAATTAAAAAAATGACAGCAGCCAACACAACAGCCCTCCTGTGTGAATGTCCTGTCTTGAACCATAAATATATAGGTGATGTAATAGAGTTGTGTCTTATTTGTCACATTGCATAATAAGGCTGCCTCTGATTGGTTAATTCTTGGCACCAGAAATCCTTATGTACAAGTATAGGCACCTGATTTTTTTAAAAAGTCACTTCAGAGCAAAAAAGGTAGGTAATTACTATTATTATTTTTTTTTGGTAAAGCAATCAAGATTTAGATTGGCAAAAACTAGAATCTATTTTTTGGTGTGCTACAGAATTTTAGTAATTAGTTTATGTGTGCCATGAGATGAAAAAGGTTGAAAGTTGCTACTCCGAGTCACTCCAAGGACCAGAGGCTCTCAGCCTCCCTCCCCTATCTTCATTCACTTCCCCGCCATCTCCTCCTTTGTAATCTTTTCTCCTGAATTAAATCAGGCGATGTGAAAAGAAAAGACCAAGCTTTTCCACCCTCTCCCCCACCTTTTCAGTGAAGGTCAGAATTCTCTACGAGGGTCAGAGAATCTTAAGTGGATGATAAGCTCTAAACACACACACACACCCCTGACTTTGCCTCCTACTGACACAATTTCAACTTATGTAAATTGCTGCACTGGCTGTTGCAAAAAAAAAAGATTAATGTACTGAGAACCAGAGCATTTAAAATCACATTCCAGGTTCCACTATCTTTTGCCTGCCACACACATAAAATACTTACGATAATAATAGTATGTATTTATACTTCTCTAGCATCTATTTTATGCCAGATGCTAATCAAATTACTTTCAAGTATTAACTCATTTAATCCTCATAATAAACATGTGAGGTAGATACTATTATTGTATCTAGTTTACAGATGAGAAAAATCAGGGAACCTTGGGCAGTTTAACCAGGATCAAGGTAGATAGTAAGTGGTAGACGGAGGTTAGAACCCAGACTATTGCACTCTGGAGTTGGGGCTCCTAACCACCCTGACTAAAGTTTATTATGCAGATGCTCTATGCCACACAGACTTTAAAGGGGAGAGTTAAGCTCAAGACTGCCTGACTTCTAAGGACATGAATGAATGAATGAATGAATGAATGAATGAATGAATGAATGAACGAATGAATGGAATTTTTAAAAGTATTGTTTTGTATCTGAAGCAATCATAGTTGTTTATCACAACACAATGTAAGTTGGTGGTTGAGATGTTCCACGGCTCCAAGAGGCAGAGCTGGGAGGTGGGGAGGTGAGGGCATGGACATTGTTGCTGTCTAGGGAAAAAGAAGTTAGCATCTGGGGCCTGAGTCACCTTCCAGCTTGGCTGCCCTATGGAAAGGAGCGGGTGTGGCAAAGACAGCCACTAGGCGGTGAGCCTGAGCTGGCAACGTGCAGCCGCTTCTGGATAGATGCCGACTGATTTCAGCTTCAGAGATCAGCCTGGCTTTTCTCAGATGAACCTGGAAGTGCCATTTGGGCCACAACATGGTTGAACGGACCTCATCAATCATTTTCTCCTTGTAGAATTCCATGGAAACAACCCCCGTGGGCCCATATGAAGCACTGCATCTAACACATTTTTACTCTCCCACTAGACACACTCAGGGGCCCAGGACAGAGACGGGTTGTGGCACAGGCTGTTCTCACACAGGAAGCCTCTGATGAGCAGAGAGGGCTTTGTGGGACTTGCTGGAGAGGAAAGGTCAAAGACAGGTTCTTCAGGATAGGTTGACTCCCCAAACAGCCTCCTAGGTAATTGTCAGAGGCTGTCAGACTGGAGCTGGCTCTATAATGACATTTAGATCGGTTTATAATCAATCCCCCAAATGTTAATCAGTAATTAAGTGCCTAGTGTGAAAACTCGTCTTTGGAAAGTGCCTCAAGGAAGCCATTATTTTGAGCTGCTTGTTACTTACACGTCTATCAGAGAATAAGGCAGGCTGATTTGCCTCTAAGGAACCTCTATCCAGACACCCAGACACTAACACTTTGCCTTTTCTTCCAGGGAAGAGAAGGCCACAGGGGGCAGCCTGGCGCCCCAGTGAGTACCTGCTGCGTCCTGTCCAGGGTGGTAGATGAGGCCAAGGAGATTCTCACAGACGAGTGCACTGGGGATGAGTGAGCATTTGACAAGGATGTTGTAGGAAGTGCTGAGCATTGGACATGATCCCCATTGACTGGGAAGGGAGAGGGGATCAGCTCAGATGCCAGGAACAGGATGGGCCTGACCTAAGGCAAAGCCTTGTCACAGCACTTCAGAGAAAAGAGGACCTGTGCTGTGCACCTCAATGCTTTTCACGTGCACTGGGAATGGACTGCAGTAGAGTGAAATTCTTTATTAGAATTAGAAACAACCTTGCTGTGCTGTAGTACCAGGAACTATAAGGGGAAGACCCATGTGGAAACTGTGCGGAGAAAACCTTCACACTGAAAACTCTCTCTCTTCAGGGGGTTCCGGGAAATCCTGGACCTACAGGTATACAGGGAGCTGAAGGATTACAAGGCCCACAGGTGTGTTGGAATATTTCATAAATATTGATAAATAATGCTGGGTGGTTCTGATGGGAAGATGGCAGGTCATTCTGTATAAAAATAAGTGAGAAATTTGGAATCTAGCCCCACCCTCCCCCGCAGTACTTGTCTCTGGAGTTCTACATTTCCCATTGCGGTGGGGGAGTTTTGCTCCATCTAGCCTGCTCCTACATTCGCAGCTCACCGATAAAGGCATGTTCTGTGCTCACCTGGTATTATGTCTACATGCTAGTAACAGTGAATTAGTAAGACCTTAATATTTTATTAGTAATCAGTATCAGGATCAACAAATTGTTTTTCCTTAATTGAGGTCCTGCAGTCAGACTCCCATGAAAGAAAGTTAGGAATTGGAAGCTGTTATTCAACTCACCTAAAGCTAACTCCGTAGGGGTTACCTTGCATCTGGAACATCATTGATAGAGCTTTACATGAGACATTTGTATTTTTTCTTAGTCACATCATTAGTGATACTGGCATCACGGTAAGGACACGTCTGTCTCTCTTCCACGTAAGAAAGATGCTAGGGTCATTGCTAGAGAATGCCTTTGTAACATGTAGGTATTTAGTCACCTTATGAGTCCACTTTCAGCCTGAACTTACCTAGAAGGACCTATGTAGATGTGTCCATTCTAAGACCTTCCTAAGAGTTCATTTTTCTTCTCGAAAGTTCCATATTATTAATACTAAACTGGAATATGGAATTCTCTTGAGTAGTTCTGGGATCCCTGAACCAAGCCACCAGGTAGCAGATCCTCTAGATTAAATAACCATGGGACCAACCTAGATCCACCCCCAGGCTTTGTGAGGAGAGGGCTGACATTGCCTCAGCCACGCCCACGTCCTCTGATACATAAGCAGTGAACCAAGGGAGCCCAGTGGCTCCAACCACCATTTGCATGGGGCAGCCAGTGCATTCTACAGCTGGTCTATGAGAGTGAGAAACACTACCAGCACCTCGACTTTTCCTCTGATAGACCATATGAGAACCATGCATTTGATGCTAATTATGGCAGAAAATGTGCCTCTGATGGGGTCTGCTGCTAAAATATCCTTTCATGATAACTTAAAACAACTTTGCTTTCTATTTTACACATTGAAAGCACTTTGACCCAAGGAACCTGCTCCATGAAAGGAGCCACCTGACCATTGCTTGTGTCTTACTTCCTTCTTCCATGTGTTTTATTTCTCTTTTTGGTCTCTTTTTCATTTCTCCCTCTCAGAGAAGGATGAAGGTTTTATACCCAAGCTGGGAATCCCTCACTAAGCTCTGTACTCCTGAGGATGGGCCTCCCCTCAGTTCCTTTCTAAGTAATGCTTAATCTCCTAGTTTTGGCTTTTCAAAGGGTTAGACTGTTGCTTTTCCATGCTTTAACATGGAGGTGTTTCAAAAGCACACTTGAAGAAAGTAACTTCTCATTGACTTCATTGCACTATTTTTCTTTTGTTACCACAAAGGGATTAAATGGAATTCCTGGCAGGAATGGAGAGAAGGGAAGCGAGGGGCCTAAAGGACCTCAGGTAAGTGACTCAGAAACGTTAGTCAGTTGTCTCCAATCTTTATTTCTCTTGCTTCGGAAACATCTTCATATATAGTTTATTTTATGTTATCTACATAGGGAGTATTTCACTTTTGAATTAACTTGGGACAAATTTAGGACAAATTTGTAGCACGGCTCAGAATTCTTGTACATAGCTTAAGCACCCCTCTTTCTCCTTCCCTGGGATTTCACACAGAAAGTGCAGACCCATTGTATCAGCCTGTAGACAGCATTTGGAAGAGTACACATCTTGCTGACTCATGCACGTTTCCAAACCTGATAGGTTATTCTGGTTTTTCTAAAGTTTAAAAATTATCTGGGCCATGCATTCATTTCTCCACTGACTGTAGATATTTGAAATTGCCTCTACAAAGGCTCCTTACTACTACAATTTATTTAATTTCCAAATTCAGCTTTGAATTCACCCTCTGAATCTACTTGGTTCCTGAGTTTCAGACAGTGAGTAATGAGAGTTTGGATGGTGAGAGATTCATATGAAAATTGTTCTGAATCTATTCAATTCTTCAGCTCAGCCGGTGAGAATTCAGAAGGCTAGGGATACCAGTGTTTGCTCAGTTATCTTCCTGGCACGCTTGTCAAAGACCCCTTTGCTCATTTTCAGATTGGGAAACTGAAACACATTCAGCACACCGTTTTGTATGTGTGCACAGTGCAGCGCACAGACGTGCGGATGACAGCACAGTATCCGTTCAACAAAATCAGTGCGTTGCAACACATTCAGAAACAATGTGTGCCGAGTCAAAGGCCCCGTGTGGACAGTGGTGTCCTTGCAGATGAAGACTAGTGGTCTTCAAACCAGGACTGTAGCCTGAGTCATCTGGTTTCAGCCCAGATGTCTCTCTCCCCTGGGTGGCTGGGTTCCTTGTTAAGAAATCAAGGAGCTGTTGGAGATGACATGTAGAAAAGCTGAACTCATCTAATGGGTTTTCTAAGAATCGCTGCAATGCTGCATTTCCATTTCCCATTTTCTTTCAGGGCTCTCCTGGGCCACTGGGAGCTGAAGGGAGTATTGGAAGACCTGGACCTTTGGGGAGAAAAGTATGTGTTATTTCTTATTGATTTCAAATACTGAGAGGAAAATCATCTCCATTCTTTTCTTGATTTTCATGTTAATTCCTCATGTGTTTGAATCCAGGCACCATAAACCACCCACCAGCTTTTTGCTAATAGATGGATGGGAATCTATCTATCTATCTATCTATCTATCTATCTATCTACCTATCTATCATCTATCTATCCATCTGTCTGTCTGTCTACCCACCTACCTACCTACCTATTTATTTATTACTGACTTTGTTGGGGTGATATTGGTTAATAAATTATACAAGTTTCAAGTGTACAATTCTGTAATACATCATCTGTATATTGCATTGTGTGCTCACCAGAGTTTAGTCTCCTTCCATCACAATATATTTGATCCCTTTACCCTTCTTCTCCTCTGGCAACAAACAAACAAGCAAACAAAACAAACAAAAATACCCATCGACACAGACGACAGTGTGGTGCTACACACTCTTCCCCCCATTGGAAGGTAACTGCTCACCTCTCCATGGAACTGCCCCACTTCCCTGTGAGAGACGCAGTGATTTCACCCATCATAAACAGCTCTGAAAAATGTGGTGGCAGAGTTGGGCCAAGAGTGGGGGACGGGGGTGGGGTGAGTGTCAGAACTTAAATCTTGTGCATGTCGTTGTCTAACTCAGCCTACCTTCTCGGAGGTGGCTCTGTTGGAAATTGTCAGAGAGCAAACTATTGGCCTATTTAGAGTCTCACCACCCGCTGCTTAAAGCCTTTCCACAGCTCCCTCCCCCAGGGCCAGCTCATGGGCCCGGAACCAGTGCTGTCACACCAGAGGCCTAGCTTAGACGGGCTCATGCTTGGTTTAACGCTGTGCTGTCAACATCTTGGTCTTACTATTTGAGCAGGAGGCCTGTGCTTTCATTTTATACTGAGCCCCACAAATTACGTAGCCAGTCTTAACTTCCCCAGGCCCTTAGGAAAATCTCCAGTCTTTACAGTAGCTTAGAAGGCCCTTTGCCGATCAACTCTATTTAACTCTAAGGCTTCATAGCTCCTTTCCTCCTGCACACCTGCCCCAGGCTTCTCACCAGTGCCATCCCTCTACCTGGAATATTCTCACTTGACCCTTCTTACAGCTCACACAACTCCTCCTTCCAGCCTCAGCATCCACGCGCCTGTTTTTCAGGCAGCCAGCCTCCTAGCCCCACCGAATCAAATGCAGATTCCCCTTCTCTTTGCTGCCATAGCACCCTGAACTCTATCACACAGGTTTAGAATTGCCTGTCTGTCTCTTTCCAATGGGACCACATCTACCACGTTCAATGGTTTATTTTCCACAACAATAAATGACTGTTGGATGGGCAACTGAACAACTTTCCCTAGAGTAAATTTTCCTCTCTTTGCCTTCTCCTTCAGTCCTTCTGTGACACTGGGAAAGCAGTCCCTGAGTCCAGCCCTGGGTTCTGCTGATGTTTTCTGCTTGCCTTTGGGAAGATCACTATTTGTTTTCTACACCCCATCTCCTTACTAAGCATTGAACTCTCTCTGAGAACCCTGTCTCCTCATCCAGTGGACAGAACTTGCTATGGTGGGAGCTAGGTGTGATTTTTACCAGTCTGAAACTTCTCATCCTATTTACTAGGGAGAACCTGGAATTCCTGGAGGTCCGGGGCCAGTGGGGCAAGCTGGGCAGCGAGGGAAACAGGTATGAGGTTTTAGGACTCTTACCCTTTCCCAGCTCCAAGTGCTTAGTTCTGAGGCAAAGAGAAGGAGGCTGACAACATCTGGGGTAGCAAAGGTATCTCAGCACCTCCTAGGTAGTTGCAGGATATTTCTCCCATCCCCTGCAGCTCTCATCCTATAGCTAGTCTGTTAAAGTGGGGGAGGACAGCCAGAGGGAAAGGGGGCATGCAGAGAGGGTAATGGATAAGTTAGAACAGGCCTATAAATATTTTAACAAACAATATGGTCACATAGACACATGTCAGTTGAAAAATTACACTACCCATTTCTCTCCCTTCTTGAAAAACTCTAGGGTGACAACAGGAATCGGGGAATAGGACCAAGAAATGGGCCCCTCTAGGCTGTGACAGGATCTCAGTCCATGGAACAGCCAATATAGGAACCATTTTTTTATTCCTTTTAAAAAATAAGGTTTATTATAACTGTTATACATAGATATTATAGGAAACTTACCAACCATAAAAGATGGGAAATGGGGAAGAAAAAAATTACTTATAATCCCACCATTTTGAGATATTTATCATTAACATTGTAGAGATACACACAAAAAAAATCACTCCTATTTTTTCCTGTTAACAATGTATCAGGGACATATTTCCATGTCATTACATTTTCCCTTCAACATCACTTTAGATGACTTCAAAATATTCTATTGAATGTATGTACCTTAGTTCATTTGACCAATCTCTTATTATTGGATATTTAGTTTGTTTTTTTGTTTTTCACTGTCATAAACAGCACAGAAATTAACATTCTTGTAGTTAATTAGATTTTTTTGAACAAAACTATAATTCATTTCTACATAGAAATTTCTAGAAGTAGCACAGCTGGGTCAAAGGTTATGCGCATACCCAAATAATGTTTGAACTCTATTGCAGAGTGCCCTTAGGAAAGTCCCAATGATATATGCATCCCTGTGTTAAGTAGGAGAGTGCTTGCTTCAGGGCATTCATACAAACAATGGATATTGTCACTTTCTTATTTTTATCTTTACCCATTTTATTGACAAAAAAATAGTGTCTCATTACTGTTTCAAATTGCATTTCTTTGTTTACTAGTGAGGATGACATTTTTCCATACGTCTGTTGGCCATTTATAATTCTTTTTGGGGGGATTCCTCACCCATGACCTTTGGACCGGCTCCTAATTTTTCAGTCAAGTAACATCTACTGACTCCATAAGTCCTGAATGAACATCCCTCTGCCTTCTGCAATGTTTGCAGAGTGGAGCTGGCTAAAGAAGTATCAGGCACATGCCAGCAAGTGAGGAAAACCCAACAACAGGCATGTTCCCAGAGGTCAAGATCATTGATTAGGCCCCCTCCACCTGAAAGTCCCCAGTGCTTCTCTCCTGACATTATAATCTCACCAGTATAGACTACAATTGCTTTTCAATTTTGAGAAATTGAAATGATCTGATATGTTCACAGGGAGATTTTGGCATCCCAGGCTATGGTCCTATGGGACTAAAAGGAGTAAAGGTAAATATGGAAAACAATTATTTCTTCAATTGATGAATCAAACCTAAATAATACAAGAAAAAATATGTTGTGTTGATTTATTATGTTTTCTGTTGAAAATTATAGGGCCCAAGAGGATTCCCTGGAGATATGGGGCAAAAGGTATTATGCACGTGACCTTTTGAAATTGCCATGATCTTAACCTTTTATCTGAGAATTGAAATACACTTGTAGATCTCAACAAAACAAACAAACAAAAAGCAAGGCAGTTGTTTTGCTGGACTTTGTGAAAAAAGGACCATACTTAACCCTATGAATCCTTACATTGGAAAAGCTCGTCCTGTTCTTCATTGCCTGGTGTCCCTTGTCTTGAAACCCAAATCTTGATTTCTCTGCCTCAGTGATCTCATTCAAAACTTTCTGCTTCAGCTATTGCAATTTGTCCTTCATTTTGGTGGCCTTTATTTCTTTTTACCTGAAGGATTACAATATTCTTCTCATTGGCCTCCTGCTTCCCACTTCTCTGTGCTTCAGTTAATCTCAAACACTACTGTCACTTGATTTTTCCCCCCAGAGCGTAGCCTTAATTTTGTTACTCTCCTGATTAAACATCTTCCAGTGTTCCTCACCGTCTGCAAGACTGAAATCCATCTCCACGCTCTAGAGCCAGACACACTCTCCATTTCAACCAGTAGTTGTGTTATATATGTTTTATACACTAAAATTATATAATAAGATTTTCTTCTTTTTTTTTTTTTAAGTGCCCTGTCTAGAAGAGTGTCTTCCATATAGGTGTTGCTCAAATTAAAATTTAGAATATGGATTTTAAAAAGTGTCTAATTAAGCAAATCAAATCAACTATAGGAAAAGACACAATATTTGAATCCTTTTAAAAGTGTTTTTAATTGATGAATTACCGAAAGAGATTCTTTCCTTAGGTGGAGAAGGGTATAAGAAGGGACCATATAAATAACTGTTAGGACATGAGTTCTCATTGTAGAGGACAATTTTCTAATTTACTGATAATGGGAGAACACAGCGTATTTCAACTTAGGGATAAATGTGAAATTAGCATGTTGATAAATAAGTGCTAAAATTAGTCCTCCCAAAGCCAGAATAAGTTTTTTACCTTCAACTTTTTCAGAAATGATTCATAAGTTTAGGATGTAATTCACTATTTAGTATTTTATGTAGTCAATATTTCTCTGATTTTTAAAGATTTTTCTTAGATATTTTTATTAACTGATTAGATAGCCATTACACATATTTATACATAAATATCTGTATTCTTAGAAAATTTAAAATAGTTTTTAGAATATCTAAGTGTATCAATGACTTCATTCCAAATGGTAGGAGAAGAAAACTTTTAGTGTTTAATATCTGGTATAGTTATAAGATCAATTAGGTTTTGAATTGGAGAGAATTATTTTTTGTTCTTTCATAGCAGATATTTTAACATTTAATTAAACATTGATTTCTTATATCTGAATCTTCAGGGTGAAGTTGGCAATCCTGGAATTCCTGGGGAGCTTGGACCCAAAGGATTTAGGGGACTAAGAGTAAGTGGCCTATAATTCCAGAGATTAAACATGATTCTTTGAAAGACTCTGGCTTTTACGTTGTAATAATAAATGTGGATTATCAATCCATCCCAAGGACATCTGAAATGTCACCTCCTATCTGTGCGATCTTCAACATGCCTTTTCAGGGTCTCTATTTCAACAACATGAGGGTTGAACTTAATGACACCAAAGGTCATTTTCAGCCCTGAATGCCTGTGGTTCCATGACTCTGAACTACTATAAAGATTTACAGATTGATACCTGGCTGTTTGAAGGATTGGCAGTGTCATCCAGTCTTTTCTAAGGCACACATCACAGCCCAGAATATTGATCCCGTGAATGGAAATGAAGCTGACATCTTTCTATTGTGTCCCTGAGGGTCTTCTGACAGTTCCACTACCCATAACCAAGGTCATCTGGAGTATTCCTTTTAAGGAAGGCTGTTGAGGTCTTCTAATTAGTGAAGTATAGATTAGAATGTTATACTTGTTTAAAAACAAAATGCTGAGACAAGCATCCTTTCATTTTAAAGTTTGAGTGTAATACCAGTAGTCATTATCAGAGAGAAAGAGATGCAGTTCAACAGATACTTTCCATCTGGCTGGATATATTTCATTAGCATCCAATATCCATTACCTTAAGGCATAGAAATGACACAGCTCACAGCCCTCCCATGTCCTCTTATGTATGTGGGCAATTCAATTATTTTTTGTATTTGATCCTTTGAAGATGGGAGTGTTTTTATTAGATCTCTGGGTATCCTAGTATATTTGCTTTTACTTTTTTTTAGCACCAATCCTAGCTTACAATTAATTTAGATTTAAATGCACAGCCAGTGCCAGATCAAAGTATGTCAGTAAATGAAGAGGCTAAGGGGAAATGAATGTTTACCAATGATTAAGAATGACTATAGTATAATTAAGGAATTTATTGGACTTGAATTAATAGTTGCTTTCTTTAAAAAATTATTTTTAATTGTAAAGTCTCGTTAAAACTAAGATAGTCCCATGGCTAGATGATGTAGAGAGTAACACATATTTCCATCTGCAGCTCACTGCAGGTCTGAAAGGTATAAAGGGATCTCAAGGACTTCATGGACCTCCTGGACGGAGAGTGAGTATATATATATCCATGAGAACTAAGTCACATGTGTTATACTGGTTTCTAGGATGTGCGATGAATGGAAAGAGCACAGAATTTTTTTTTAAATCCTCATCTGAGTATATTTTTTCAATTGCTTTTCAGAGAAAGAGAGAGGGAGAGAAAGAGAGAAATATCAATGTGAGAGACACATAGGTTGGTTGCCTCCCGCACGTGCCGCTACTGGGGCCGGGGGTCGAGCCTGCAACTGAGGTATGTGTCCTTGGCCCAAGTCAAACCCAGGACCTTCAGTCCACAGGCCGATGCTCTACACTCTAACCACTGAGCCAAACCAGCTAGGGCAAAACGGGCACCGAATTTCATGTCAGAAGCACTGGATTCAAGTCCAGATTCTGCTTGGTACTAGCTGTGTGCCCTTCGGCCAGCCACTGAGTCTCAGTTTACCTGTAAAACAGAGATGACATATCCTGTGCTAACCACCTCACAAGGTAGCTGAGAGGATCACATAACCCAAAGTGGACACTCCTTGTGAACTATAAAGTTCAATGAAAAATTAGCTGCTACTGTTATTTTTTAACTGATGTTTTAAAAATAGGGATGGGATTGGATAAGCTTCATAAAAGTATCCTGGCAAAGCTCCGTCATGCTAGGCAAGTTCATAGAGTTTCCCAGAACCATTACTATTGCCTTCCTAGCCTCAACATTTAAACTTGAGAGATATTTGGAAATATAACTACAACTTTCCACTATGATTCTAAGAGAAATGTCACCTTTGGAAGCATTCCTGGGCAGAGTCAGGCGCATCTCCTTGTGATGAAATACCCATATCTCTATTTTAGTCTCTGTCACATTATTGTAATGATTTATGTACATGTCTCTTTCCCCTGATGGGCACAGTCAGGTAGGAACTAAATGTTGCTAGCACCCGTGTTTTGTGGAGAAGGCTCAGGCAGCATCGTGTAAGGAGTGGAGAAACTGCTTACCTTGTTTTGTGTCCTGTGAATATTTTCTAACTGCCTGGAGGGGGTCCTCTAACCTGGGACTTAGAAGGGAAACAAAAAACGTGGGTGTTTTGTGAACAACTGAATTGATAATAGAATGAGAATCAGCTACCTGTAGCGGATACCCTGATACAATCTGTTATTTCTTTTATATTAACTGGTCAGTCGTCTTAGGCATGTGGGTGAGAATCTAGTCTGCGAGCCAGTCTGGCCCAGCCTGGATTTATCGCTTGTCCAGATTCTGGAGCTCTCGTTTCGGGGAATCCCACGTTTTCCTGGGCTTGTGCTTGGCCCTGCTGACCTGGTAGAATGTGCTTCTTTGTCTCAGTCCCTTCATTCTCAGCCTCTGCTTAAAAACCTGCTCAAAGTTACTCGTCAGTCTTTTAGAACATACTCCCCTCCGGTCTGATCATCTGTACGAACTGGGCTGCTTACCCTATTTATTGCCAGAAACTGTTCCTCTCTCCGTTTACGTGGCTGTGCATTCTTTGCTGTTTTCTGCTGTAAGTTGTAACGGGACAGAGATGACTCAGCGTCCTTGAGTGAGATGCATAATTTCCTGATCTGGGTCGGGAATGAAGTGTTCTCCCCTGGGTAGAATCACAGAGGCCGCAACAGTTCTGGCTAACACCAGCTGCACATGGGGAGGGGAGGGGGCGGGGAGGGCACTTCAGCATTCAGCAGACATTTAACTGGTTATTGGATGAGTGGATGGACACATGACCCCGTGGCAAGGACATTTGTGGCTAAGCAGCTGGGGAGCCAGTGAAATCGTATGAGTAGGAGCATGCAATAGCATTTTCTGAAGCCAGCTTCCCAGCATTCACCAGTTGCTCAAAGGGATCCATACGTGCAAACATGTTGGGAACCAGCTGCCAAGGAGAAGCCTGATGCTTATGAAAGGAAGGGGAAAGGCGCAAAGAGAAAAGCTCAAGCTGTCAAGAAAGGACTGCCATTTTGCAGGACCCTTCTCAGTTCATCTCACTAATTACTTGTACCCCTTTCTTTTATAACTTCTCAGCATTTATGAGTGTGGTGTGTCGGCTCTTCCTTTGTATAATGCTCATTTTCCCACGTAATTCTCTTTGGTTTTTTCACAAATATAGAAGTTGCAGGCTGCGGCCTGATTTTAAACTCCTTGGTTTGTAATAAACCTGTACCTCTGAATTCTCAATCAATTCCTCTCTTTCCTGCTATGCTTTGGGAAGTCTGCTGCTTACAATTTTAAGTTTTCTGATGAAACATGCCTTCTAAGTGTTATATCTTTAGTACAAATATCTTTAAGAAATAAAATAGTTCAGTTCACTCTGGGCAGACTTTAGCTTTATTGATCTAACACTGAAACAAAAAAGTTGACACTCTTGATTTAAGTGGGGAAAGAGCATCGTAATCCACCAGTTCAGGAAAACTTTAATCCCTCTCTGCCAGCTGTGCTTTTAACAAAGAAGGTTTTCCGTCACCATATATTTGACCCCATTTAAGCTTTTATATCCCCCCACTCTTCTTTCCCTGTGATAACCACCACTGTTGCCTGTGTCTGAGTTTTGTTTGTCTTGGTGCTGTCTGTTTCATATCCCACATGTGAGTGAAATCATATGGTTCTTGACTTTTCTCATCTGACTTACTTCACTTAGCGTGATATTCTCAAGATCCATCCATATTTTCACAAAGGACATTACATCTTCTTTATGGCTGAGTAGTACTCCACTGTATACATGCACCCCATGCTCTTTACCCAATCATCTATCAAAGGACTCGGATTGTTTCCATGTCATGAGCACTGTGAATAATTCGTGTTGACAAACATTTGTACTCCTTCACTATTTTGGAAATTATCCCATAATACCAAAACGGGTCATTCAAATTCAGAGATTTCCATCTTTCTGAAATAAAATAAATGTACCCAACGACATCATTTTTAGCTCAAAAAAAAAAAAAAAAAAGAATGAAGGTATTTTTCCTTTGCTTTTGTTTTGCCTTTAAAGAGTCCCATTCACATACCAATAACTTGCTCTGATTTTGTTTTCCTAGGGCCCTAAAGGCACGGCGGGGGAGCCTATATATTCTGTATGTATCTCCTTATTTATGAAAGTAAAGCTGACCGATCCAGATAAATGTGGCCCCTCAAAGGTCACTGTGCTCACGTTTCTGTTCTCTCTCTATTTACAGCAATGTGATCTGATCCGGTTCGTGCGGGACCACAGTCGTGAGTATCTGTGTGTGAGGGAGCGAGAGCACCTGGGACAGGTGAGGGCATTTAGGACGGAGGCAGTGTGGGCCCGCAGGACCAGCAGGCTGAACTCACTGGCGGAGAAGGCAGATACCCCCGCAGCAGGCTGTGAGGGCCTGCCGCGGGAGCAGCGCACGTCGACGGTGGGAGAGAAAGGGGCATAAGTCAATGACATGCACTTTAACTTGGCTCATGATGTGCAATTCATACAGGAGAGAAAACAGGCCTATGGGAGACAGCTAGAGCCCAGCTCAAAGGGGTGTGAATCAGCTCCCACATTTGTATAACAATTATGTACAAAGGCCTGAGAACACGGTGTTAAAGGGGTGGACATGGGAGTTTGGGGTTAGTGGGTTAGTCACTTAGTTCATGAAGGCTCCTTGGATGGGGGTAATGAAATCCCACTATGGGGAGGTGATGGGGAGGGACAAGACAATAGTTTCAGCAAAGGAATAAAGCTGAAATCAACTAATAGAGGGTTGTCTTTGGTTATGAAGAAAGAGGGAGACAACACCCAGGAATCTCATTTCTGCAAATTTATCCTAAGGAAATAAAGGAAAATATTATAGGTACAGATGATTGTTGAAACATTCATTAGAGCAAAATAACTACATTTAGACTCTTTACACTTATAATTGCATTACGGTGCACCATCTTCTATAAAATATTAAGCAGATATGGTTTTTATGAAGATGATCAGAATATGAAAAATGTTGCCCTTAAGAAACAGAAAATTAAATTGGATCCTCATTATGTTTACATAGAGAGGTAAATATATATGCATAGAAATGAGTACTAGAGAGGAAGGTAGAAAAGTGTATCAACTTATGGTGCTAGGGTGGTAGAATTTTAGGTGATTAGCCTTCATTTTTGCATAGCGGTTTATAATCATGCTTACATAATCACAGTCGGAAAAATGTAAAATGGGAAAATCAGAGAGACTTTACTGAAGGATACGGGATGAAAAGGTAGTCATTGCAAGCGTGTGGCAAGGACAGAACAACAACTAAAACAAATTTAAAATCCCTGTAAGGCCAGATGGGAGAGGCTTAGCATCACTGTGGATCAGGAGGCAGAGGTGGGGCTGTGAAGGGAAATCAATTGCAGGAAAATATGATGATTTGAAACATTTTAGAGTTAGAGGAAAGTTGTGTAGGCCCTAAATTGAAATGAAATGCAGGCAGCTGAGGGGATAAAATGCAGGCAGCTGTAATAAAGGTAAGGTTTAAGGAAGGAGACTCAGATGTTGAAGTCACTCAAGCGTTTGTAGTCCTTAGAGCTGCATGGATGGATGAGGTCCCAAAGAATGGGAATCTAGAGAGACAGAAACAAACCCCCAAGGGATGAACCCAGGAAGACACTTTAGCAAAAGGAGTGGCATAGCAGAAATGAGGAAGCCCTGCCAAAGGTGGGCGACTCGAAAAGGAGCCAAAAGGAACCAGTGGAGAGAGGATTGAAAGGGAGGGTCCCTTGCGAAAAACATGGCAGGAGGGGTAGAAAGGCTCTCCAGCACAGAGGGGAGGGGAGGAAGAGGCCTGGGGCCACAGGGACCGGACAGAGGGAGGTGAGTGTGTGATCAGACTCCCTCAAGGCGTTGCTGGTTCTCAGTAAAATCAAATGATGCCTTCCCAAGGAAGAACAAAGGAGTTGGAAGGAACTGGGTAGGCGAATACCTACCCTTGGGGGGTTTCGGATTTGAAGGCAGTTTTCCAACACTGAGTAAAGGGAGTTAGTCAGGCAATTAGGGGGCCAGGGGAGAGTGTTGGGTACTATAACCAGACAGGGTGCTGATCAGTGAGCATGGAGCTCCAGAATTCAGATCTGAGATGAGGATTTGGGTAACAGACTTTAGAATCAATTCAGATGACTTTATTTTATAAATGACATCACTGAGGCCCTGCAAGGTGGGATTCCTGGTCTAACATGTTTGCTCTTCAAATCCTGCAGCAGCTCTCTGCCACACAGGGATGAGGGCCTGGGTCCTGAACTGGTGGCTGAGACCATGACCACAGAATAAAATAAGAGATCTAGGAGGCTGCGGGGAAAGGCGAGAGAGGAGTGTGGTTGAGAATAAAACAGAAGGACTCAAATGATTAGAGTTTTGGAGGGAGAGGCATAATTAAAGAGGATTTTTAGGAAAAATAAATTTAAAGAGAAACACTAAGAAAGGCCACCTAGTTTCATCCTGGCACCAAGGGTTTGCTGGTTCGATTCCCAGTCAGGGCACATGCCCTTTGCAGGCTCGATCCCCAGTTGGGGACGTGTAGAACGCAGCTGATCGATGTTTTGCTTTCACATTGATATTTCTCTCCCTCTCTCTCCCTTCCCCTCTCTCTAAAAAAATCAATAAAATGAAATAGAATAAAATAAAATAAATAAAATAAGAGAGGTCAACCAGTTTCTCCAAAGTCACCCAGATTCAAACCCAGACAGGTGTATCTATTTCCAGCACCTGTGCTTCTAGGCTCATAGCTGGGTTGGAGGTTAACAAATGAAAAAGTTCTCTGTTAGGAAAAAAGGGATGTGTTTCAGGCCTTGAGATGCAGAGCAGTCTGTGGGTCACATGTGCTTTCTGCTGGCAGAGGCTAAAGACAAGAGATGTTAATAAGGCTGATGTGAGGGGAGCATGTGCTGTGGGAAACCAGGATGGAAGCCAATTTGTTGTCAGTGCTAATAAAATCTTTCATTATATTGGAGTGACTCATTTGCTTCCTAGGAATTGAACTGAGTAAAAGGAACATGGAAATTGTCAAGCCTGTGCTTACTGAGAGATTGACTGACATTTCTGTGCTTCATCTGAGAGAGTAAATCACTTAGAGAAACCGGAGCTATTTCGCTCAGGAGAAACCCTGGGGGGTGTGTGTAGGGGTCCTCCTCAATCTAGATACGGAGATCACTCAAATACAGGAGCTATATTTTTTAGCAGAGACAAAGTTCATTTGGAAATCCTCACAGTTCTACAGGAAAATAGAGCTTCCCAAGGTGTTCATCAGGGAAGAAAATCAAACCCCATATTTTAGCCTTGCCTTTCTGAATGACTCTCAGAAGGCTATAAGAAGAGATACAAAACAAATTGAATTTTAGCTCTCTTGCCATTTAATCAGAGGCTCGTGTATTCTGCTTCAAAGACAAGTGATCAGTGTTGCAGATTTCAACCAAAATTCTGCTAAGGCCTGCTGGCCATGACGCACAAGGAGAAAGGGCCTGGAAGGGTCATAAAATTCTGTATAGTCGTCCTCAGTCTTTCAGCCGTGGCTCCCCATAACCTAGGCCTTAGCCTTGTGTGCAATTAGAGCCAAACCAAATATTAAACTTTGTCAAAATTTTGTTGTTTTGGATTATTTTTAGTCTGTGTTCCAAAAATGTAATTGTCTCTTCTCTCTCTCTCCTTTTTATAGCTTGTTGGCAAGGTGAGTATTCTTACCATACTGTGTTTTTCATTGAAATTATTACTGTCTTCTGACAAGACCAATTTGAAAGAAACACTCACCCCTATAGGGAAAAGGACATCTTCCTTCTATGCAGACACTTACGTCTTTGGTTTCAACTATAACTGTCCATGTCATGTTTGACCTGATCGTAAAATGGTAACCTCCAGCCCTCAGCCCCTTCACATTGTTCTTTCTAGGTCCTGTCATGATTTACACCTCAATTTGTCCATGGGGTAGGCCCTGTGCTGCTGAGGGATCCAGTGACAGGGCTCTCTGACTAAACATATTCTATTGCTCTGTTTGCTGTTTGACCCCATGGACACCAGCTTCTTGGACAGGGGGTGTCTCCTTTCTTCCCTCTGGCCCACACCTTTCATCTCACCAAGTACCCACCTTTCCTCTCACTAAGTACCTACCAATTGTCAGCCTGACCCTGCCATGAATGGTCTTCCCAGGGCCTAGACTGCAATCGGTGTTGCATGGTGCCTTAGATCCCTGGGGTGACATTGCTGCTGAAGCCGCTTAGGTCAACTTCAAGGGCTCCTGGTCTCCTAGAGGCCTGCTGAAGTAGACCCGCAGGGTCTTTGAGCTTATCACAAAGTATGTACCATTCACTTTAATTCTGAAACAAAACAAAACTTTGTACGTATAAGTGCCCTATAAAACTTTTTGAATTAGAATTAAACCTGCCAGGTACCCTGCTGGGCACTAGGAAAGGGAGGTTGTGAAGTCTGCACTTTATGTAGCCAAATTTAATGCTCTATCAATATTCTCAAGCTAGCAAAGCAGATTCCATACCTTCCTTTACATGTAGGTCCCTCCAGTTCTAGAGCTGTATGTAACACTTGCATTTTCCTAGACCTCCGTATGAACCACCCTTACTAGAGTAAAGGGATCTGGGAAAGGCTTTTGATCCAGTGGGATAACTTAATACTTCTGTTTTTCATTTTTGTAGAAAAGTGTCCAGCGTATCCAACAGAGCTGGTATTTGCCCTGGACCAGTCCTACGGTATCACAGAACAGAGATTTAATGAAATGAGGGAAGTCATAACTTCTATTGTCAATGACCTTAACATCAGGGAAAATAATTGCCCTGTGGGAGCGAGAGTTGTTGTGGTTTCCTATGACTCAGGCATCAGCTATCTCATCCGTTGGTCCGACTACCATAGCAAGAAACAGCTCCTCCAGCTTCTTTCCCAAATAAAATATCAAATGCCCAAAGAAGCCCGAGACATTGGTAATGCGATGAGGTTTGTGGCCCGGAACGTTTTCAAGCGGATGTACGGGGGAGCCAACGTGAGGAAAGTTGCTGTGTTTTTTAGCAATGGACAGACATCCAGTAGGTCATCCATCATCACGGCCACCATGGAGCTCAGCGCCCTGGATATCAGTTCAGCCGTCTTTGCTTTCAATGAAAGGGTTTTCCTTGATGAGGTTTTTGGGGTAAGAACTTCTCTTGGCAACTTCTTCATTTTTAAGATAGTGGTACTAGTCGGATGGGAATGGTGGGGAGTAGGGGAAACTCTGTGGCTTTTTGAGTCCCTCTACAGTTTACACAGCTATATGGTTGCCAGGGTCCCTGGAATCTAATATCACACAATAATAGCCGCCAATAATAATAGCGGCCACGTTTGCTCAGCTCTTGCTGTGTACCAGGCACCGTCCCTAGAGATGTACACACACACTTATACATTGTCACAACCCTCTGAAGTCAATGCAGTTGTCATCCCCATTTTAAAATGAGGAAACTGAGGATATTTTTTCCATTGCTTTTCAGAGAGAGTAGAAGGAAGGGAGGGAGGGAGGGAAGGAATGGGAGAGAGAGAGAAACATCAGTGTGAGAGAGACATATGGACTGGTTGCCTCCTGCATGGGCCCCGACCAGGGGTGGGAGCAAACCTGCACCCGACGCACATGCCCTTGACAGGGAATCGAACCTGCAACTTGCAACCCTTCTTTGGTGCTCGGGCCAACGCTCTAACCACTGAGCCACACGGGCCAGGGCAGTTGGGTGTTTTTCAAACTAATCCTTAAAGTAGGTGCACAATGGCTTTCTAATAATGACTAAAGAAAATGACTAAATAAGCATATGCTTTTTTTTTTTTCAATACAGTTTGACAACACTGGAGCATTTCAGGTGATTCCAGCTCCTTCAAATGGAGAATACGAACCTTTAGAAAGACTTCGGCTTTGTACACTTTGCTATGGTAAGACCAATGAGAATTTATTGTGCTAAAACACTTAAATGCCCTCTGGATGAGTTATTAAATCTGGCATTATCAGAGATTTCTATTTTTCATTGCAAATTTTAAGTTTTCCAGCACCATATGTCTCTGTAATGTTTGCAGTTTCCATAGAATGTGAAAATTGGTTTATAAGATTATTCCAATTAATGTGGCTTTTCTTGGGAACAATTTGGTAGTCTGTATCAAAAGTCTCTCAAATATAGAAAAACAAGCACCACATGACTTCACCATGTGATACCACATGATATGTGGAATTTAATGAACAAACTGAATTAACAAACAAAATAGAGACAGGCTCATAGATAGTGGACAAACAGCTCGGGGAGGAGGGGCGGGGGGAGGAGTGTTGGAGAGGATAGAGGGATTGAGCAAAAAAAAAAAAAAGAAAGAAAGAACTCGTGGACATGGATAAAAGTGTAGTGATTGCAGGGGGCCAAGGGGTGGGTAGAGGTGGAATAGGATATAGGGGGGAAAATGGTGATGGAAAAAAATAAAATAAAAAAATTTTCTAAGTGAGTTTGGACATGACTTATAGATTTCAAATATATGTCCTACCCACATCTGCTTTTAACAAAGACCTTCCAAAATTGTACGCTAGTTGCTACAGAAATGTTGGGACACTGAAATTCTTCATAATTTAAATGATGTGAGATTGAAGGACTGGTGGTCAGATTATTAATTCTTGGTAACCAGTCACTGAATCACTTGATGATCTCAAATGACAGCCAACATTGAACAATGATGAGTCTCTCTGTATTTTCAGATAAATGTTTTCCAAATGCTTGCATCAAAGAGACCCTTTTACCTGAAAATTCAAACATGGATGTAGCCTTCCTCTTAGACAATTCTCAGACTATAGCCAGTGAGGAGTTTAAGGCCATGAAAGACTTGGTGAGCTCGATGCTGGACAACTTCAACATTGCTTCAGACCCTTTCATCCCAGACTCTGGTGACAGGATTGCCCTGTTGGGCTATTCTCCTTGGGATAGTTCTAGGAAAAAGAAGAGTGCAGTAAAAACAGAGTTTGAATTTACAACTTACACCGACCGAGTCCTAATGAAGAACCACATCCAGAATTCCCTCCAACAGCTAAATGGAGAAGCCACCATTGGTCACGCCCTGCTGTGGACCATAGAGAATCTCTTCCCAGGAGCACCCAACTTGAGGACACATAAGGTCATCTTTGTGGTCTCAGCTGGGGAAAATCATGAGAGAAAGGAATTATTGAAGAAGATGGCTCTGAGGGCCAAGTGTCAAGGCTATGTCATAGTTGTGATTTCCCTGGGCTCTCCACGTGAGGACAACATGGAGGAATTAGCTAGCTTCCCACTCGACCACCATCTGATACAGCTTGGGAGAATCCATAAACCAGATCTGGATTATATTGTGAAGTTTTTAAAGCCATTTGTATACTTTACCAGGCGTAAGTCATTATTTTGCTTTTTCTGTTTGTCCTGACAAATTAGTTGGTTAATAGTATTGATAACCTAACATGTTTTTGTATCTATAGCTAACCCAAATATATGAATTAGACTTTCGGTGAGTTGGGGAAAGGGATAGGACACATCTGAGTATACCCTATTTATATCTTAGTCATAATGTAGTGAGACCTTCCTTTTTCATGATAGAATGTCTTTTAGCCAAAATCTCAGCACTTTAGAAAGCACAACCTAAAGAAATCTGAGCCACTCTTAGATGGTCTCCAGGATGAGCATGTAAATGAAATTTTCTCTGCTACCCCAGGTGTATTTCCAACCTTGGCCCACCCTGGAGACCTGTATGAGGGTGTAAGGCAGCACAGCACTGTGAAGCTCCCGAAGCATGTGAACATACAGCACATGGTTGTTGAAATGCAGGCTCTGATTCAGTATGTCTAGGGTTGAGGCTGAGATTCTGCATTTTCAACAGTTTCCCCAGTGATGTCAACACTTCCAATTCAAGAGTGACACTTTGAGTAGCAAGACACACTACAGTGTCACCACTGGATGGGTGAGAGTTCACAGACTGAGCTGTGAAGGGAGAAATACAGAAATTGAGAGCAGGCATCTAGAAACTTTTAAGCAATTTGACATTCCATGGCATGCAAATGCATGAACAGTGGACTCTGTCTTATTGAGCAAGATAACCAAAAGTATTGGTCCGCAAAGGATTAGAAATAAAAATACCTTGTCCTTCACCACAAATGGTTTGAGAAACACTTTCTAAGCAGTGTTTCTCAACTGGGGATAATTTTGCCCCCTCAGGGTACATTTGTAAATATTTGGAAACATGTTTGATTGTCACGACTGAGGGAGAGGATTCTGTGGGTATCTGGTGGGTAGAGGCCAGGGATCTGCTAAATATCCTACAATGCACAGGACACCCTCCCAGCCTCCAACAGCACAGAATGGTGCAGCCCAAAATGACAATAGCACTGAGGTTGAGAAACTTTGCTCTGGAGGATCCTACAGAATCAGAGTTGAACCTGCTCTTTCTGGGAATCTGACTGGTTTAGAGTTAGGTTGTGCTGAAACCACTGCCACAACCTTAGAATTCCAGAGTTGCCCTTGTCTTCAAGGAATCTCATCACCACCACAGTGACAGTGTCTTGAGAGCTCACTCTTCATTGCAGAAAGAGCTCCACCTTTCTCCTCTGGCTCATGTTCCATTGAAGAGGCAAATAGTTGCCCACTTAGGAATATCGTGTTATTTCTTTAACTCTAAATGCCTTCAACTGTATGATACATCATTATATTAGGTAAAAAGAAAGAAAAAATACTTCCCATTAAATGTTGATACTAACTTTCCTTTTAGAGTGGTTTATTTTATAGTCATTAGAAGAGTTCTCTTAGGCAGATTACCATATATCGCTCACTCCATGAAACAGACTGGTTAAGGCATCCTTAAAACTTCTTACTCAAAGTTTGACTTTTGTGAGCTATTTCTTGACTCAGAGTCATTTATACTGACCTTTTCCCAATCGATATTGTTCTTTGTGCCATCAGGATTAATGATGATACAGCACTTTTAAAAGACAATAAAGCTGGTCTTGCTGGGTTCTTAAGTAACTTTGCAACTTTTGAGCTTGCTTACTTTTGACTCCCACCTGAGCAATGTTGCTAAACATCAGTTCACTGCCTTCCCATAACCTCTTGGTTTGTAGGGGTTAAAAGACTCCTACAAGTTTCAGTGCTGGTGTGTTTGCTGTTCCCACATTTACACACAATAACAACTGCCTCCCAATTCCTGCCTCACAAACAGCAACTGTCAAGTGCAATTAGAAGACAGTCTCATTTCAGACAAATAGGGAAAAAAGCTTATCTTAGAATCAGAGAAATATAATTGTTATAAAACCATAAACATTCTCTGAGGTACTTTCATGGAGTCTTGGATCATACAATGGTCAAAGTCCTCCTTTAACTAAAAACTCTTTGTTTTCCTGAATGAGGGGGGAAATAATTTATACTCCAATATTTCGCAATTTATAGAACAATAGGAAGGGGGGGTAAAAGGATTTATTTAGGTCAGTACAATAAAACCCTTTCTGGGATTCTTTTCTTCCTAGAAATCAGTGTTAATTGGTGCAGAAGCACAGAAATAGCATCCTGTAATAAAATATTTACCTTTTCTGTATTTGATTCATTGGCAAAGTGAAAAAGCTTTATAGAATCTGAAAAAAATTTCCCTTAGGTTATGTTAGCCTGAGCATATGGAAATCATGGGTCTCTGCATCTCAATGAACCCTTAAAAGAACAATTTGAGGGGGTCATTGTCCTTGACTCTGATCATTCTTTGGCTGTCAAACACTCTAACATCAAGCTGCTACTATATTCTGTTTTCACCCCAGCCAAATTTTGCTGAAATATTTTAGTGACATTTATTGCTTCAAGAGAATTCCTGCTGGGATTCTCTTTACCTAGCATATACAATTTCTTGTTTAAAAATCTAACTATACCTTTGTTCCCTCAATAGGAGGATTCAATCCGTACCCACCACCAGTGCTTAAAGATGCCTGTAGACTCCTCGATTCACAAGAAGATAATCACAACAGCGATCTCTTGTGAGTCAGAAAGCTCTTATGTTTATAAGTGACTGTTAATGGACTGACGGGTGTGTAACTGGCTGATGGCAGGTTATTAGGTTGAGGAAGCTAATAAGGTCTCTGCAGTAAAGGCCCTTCATGCATCTCATTTTCTGTAGCAGAAGTTACGCATCAAGCATGCTTTCTGGATTGATGTTTTTATAACTTCCTCAGGAGCTTTATTACAGTTTTGCCTTTAAATTCATGGTTTCCTCAGAAGTTCCCACATTGAAGTTTATCCCAGAATAGAAACCACAACTGAGCCTCAACCCACCTCAACCTCACTTCCCATCTCTCCTCCCAGAAGCGCTGGGTTCTAGCCACCCTGGACTGTTGTCTGCCTCCTGTGAGCTGTTGATCCACCCTCCTAGGCCTCTGGTCATGTTGCCTAGGACTCTGTTCCTTCCAGTGAGACCCAGCCCATCTTTCATGGTCCTAATTGAAACTGTCTTCACTTTGAAGCCCATCTTTACTTTCCGTCAAAATCCACAATTCCCTGTTTGTACCTCTTTACACCTCTGCTGAGGCACTTACGGTTTATCCCAAAGTCTTGTCTCACTGAAGTCTGGGGCTGCATGATTCATGATTTCATCCCCAACACATAGCATAAAGCACCCAACAATATAGTTGCACATGTAAATAATTTTTCTTAAAATTGTATCCTAAATAAAAATATAAATAATCTGAATGAATCTTGAACCTCAAACAGAATGAGAGTGGCCCATTTGATTGCTCTCTGCTTCTCTCTGCACTTCCCTGAGCTTGGATGCCTGACTACAGCCTTGTGAAAGCCCAAATTGGGGGCCATAATTACTCCGTCCTGTCAGATGGCAGTTAAGCAAAGAGCTTCTCAGAACAGATAATTTCTCTTACATACATCTGGAAGCAAAATGTCAAGATGAGGGTTCCTCGGAATTCATGCAAGTACATGCTCCTCGAATGTTAGACTTCATCTACTTGGTAGTTTAGCAAGGAAATGTCCAACAGCCAACACCTTCTGAAGGACAATATTAACAATGTGATGCGAAACTGTGTTTCCCAGCATTAAATAAGTCCTAAACTCATTTAAAGGAAAACCAGGTTTTACAGAACTGCTAACAAAATATTATAACATTATTTAAACATGTACAAATGAACATAAATCTAGCTGCAAACACCATATGCTTATAGTTCTTAATGCAACTATCAGACCAAAACAAATTTGCGCATCAAATCCAAGCAAAGTCAACAAGACACAAATTTTAAACACTAATTTAACGTAATGGATGATTCTACTTTGCAAAAATAGAATTCCTGAAAATGAAAAAGATACAATACATATTGGTAAAACATGATGCACACTGCAGAGGTACATCTGCTCTTGACTTGTCTACTCTGTTGCGTGAGGACATGATTCCTCACCTGCACCACTGCACAGTGATCATCCTCACTGTGTGTCATGATATCATTTGCTGTGAGTGTATTATTCATGTATTATGGCTGACTTTTCCCCTTTCTTCACTAACTCTCAACAGTTAAAGTAGTACTAGTGGGTGTGCTACCCCAGTATCAAATACAAATGTAAACATGAACGTTGAAATTGCATGATTTATTTACATGAATAAATAAGAATAAACATATCAAATAAGTTTTCTGTCAACATTTAAATAAACACTATTCTAAAATTATCCTAGGGAACTCTTAAACGCCTAAGAAAATAAATGTAGAGACTATTTTAGGAGGCATGATGTCAATGAGATATGTTTTATATAGTCTTATGCTTCTCAGCAGTTCTTGGTAAATTAAATGAGTATTTTTAATATTTTCTATGGTGACTGATATCAATCTGAGACGCATTATTTGGTTGTTACAAATAACCTGTGATTGACTTTTCTGTGGCAAACCAGACTTGGTGTCTTCCAAAGTAAGTACAGTACAGGCTATAAGCAGACTGGGGAAAAGGAAGGATAAATGTGAATTTAAAGTTTTACCACTTTATATGTTTTTTAATAATAAGTATAATGAAATAATAAGTACAATGAATCTTCATGGACTATATGATTGAAATGAATTTAGATTTTTACCATTCGTTTTTCTAAGATAAATAGCTATATTAAATTGCTGTGATATTTTATTTACATTTCCCAAAGTTATCTAGATTTACCTAAAACTTCCCATTTTATCTTCCAGATTTACTGCCGAGACACATGAGATTTCTTTAGGAGAGAACAGCTTCTTCACTCAGGAATTAAGGACTGGGAGAGGCTCATCTTTTACGTTGGATGACAGCGGAAGTGACCATTTGGTTCACATTCCAAGCCCTATGTTCATGCCACCAAAATTAATGACTGAGTATAAAGAAAATCGAGATTCTGAAGACATTGCAAGTCTCACTTCTGGTAAGGAAATGGAAAGTTATGATGGAAATGTTTAGGTAACTGGGTCTTGTTTTTCTAACACTAGTAGAGAATCAAATACATTAAAGCTGGTATCTACAGCAACTTTTTTCAAGTTCAAAGTGGTAGCTACCACCACTCCTTTTATTGAAAGTGATTATTTAAATGGTGATAAGCACCACTAAGGGCATCGCTACTATAAGCTCTAAGCAATGTCCCTGATATTCTTATCAAATTTAAGATTTCTCTGGGTTCCACAACTTAGAAGTCAGTGTAATGTAGAAGGAGGTAATATAGAGAACATCAAAGCGAAGGGATTAAAACGACTTTACAGGTTGGCCTGGCCAGTGCCCCAGAATTTGTGATGACTGCGTTACTTTGTGTGAGTTATTTTTGAGAGACGTGGAAATGATAACTATAAACTCTCCCTCTGCCCTGTCTATACATTTGAATGGCAAAGCAGTAATACCTTTTGTCAGGATTTAATAGTTTAAAATAAATCAGATACATAGGATATTAGTATTTCCATGGAAAAGGATGACATCCTAAATAGACGATGCAGCCGTTCCATCTCTGCACCTAGAGTCTCCCAAAATGCTCCTTTGACCAGAATGCTGGCATTTAAAGCAGCATGTCATAAATAACACGTGTGCTGTTAGAATATTCAAGTTTAAAAGAAAAGGGGGCCAATTTCATGCCAATTATTTATAAGAATGAATAATATTTATTCTTAGTAGCTTCTTTAGATATATTTTCTTTTCTTTGGGTTCAACACCGATGTCCTTACCTTGTCCCCCTATTTCTGAAATATAAATATTTGAACTTTATCTTTAATACAGTATAACTTTCTGTAAAGGAATACATTTCTATAAAAGAAGCTAGAGTTAAGAATAAAAAGTCAATTAGTCAGTAGTTGAAAAATAAGACTTAAAAAAGAGGTAATACAATAAAACTGAATGTGTGTAGTACCATGGCATTAAGTACTCAGTTGTGTATCTTTTCAGTTAAAACAATTTTTTAATGTCATATAGACATAGCTTAAAGAAGAGAATAAAATATTTGGTTTTTTTAATGGATGTAGTTAATTTGGGGTATTTATTTTACTGATATGGTAATAGCAACAGCCCTCAAGGCAGAGGAATTTATTATGGCTTAATTGAAAAAGAGGAAAATGAAAGAGAGGAGTTGCTTTGACAGTGTTAGAATAACAAACTGTCATTTGCGAGTTTTGTTAGAGGTAAGTATTCTGAAGTCTAATAATTCAGAAATGTACATCTTTTTAGGAAACACATATGAGACTGGATATTGAAGAAAGGAAAACGAAGAGACTCATCTTTGCCGCCGTCTTTAAAGACCATTGTTCTGTAATAATGGAAAGACTGTTCATTTGGTTTTTCAGATGTCTGGGAATCAAGATAGTCATAGTTAGCACAAGATCCAATTTGGCCAAAGAAATAATTGTACAGGGCTCTAGTAAGACGGAATATAATTGGCAGTTACCCCCCCACCCCCACCCAGTCTCTCCTGGGCTGAAATGTGCTGGGAGTTCCATGAGGATCAGGTCAGGTTGTGATAGCCTGGGAGCAGTGAGTCTCAGACCTAAGGATAATGTATATTTTTTATCCTTTAAAATAAATCTTAGTCTCAGATCATAACTGTTGTCTAGGGACTTTGTGCTATTTCTTTAAAAAAAAAGATCACCTTTATCCAGTTGCCAAAATCCTCTGAGAACTTCCTGTATAATGTGCCATCCTCATGGACAGTACACTGTGGTTCAGATATTTCATTCAGTTGTTGAGTCGAGCTTTGATAAGATCCAGATGTATTGCACAAATAAAACTTTGATAATTTTCATAAGTACCTCCATACGCTGTGCTTATTACTCATTTATAATGTGATTGTTATGGCTGACGACTGATCTTTCTGCCCTTGAACTGAGAGCCTTGAGGGAAAGTCAGGAGTGGTAACCGTTTAAGAACTGTATCGAATTCCTAGAGCCCCGTGGGCTGGCGATGAGTTGTATATCACCCTCTTTCACAAGAAACACAACCGCTATATTTCTGCCTGTGTCTCTCTCTCTTATCTGCTCTGATTTCCAAGTTCATCTTTGGTGCCGTCACCTTTTCTGCCCCTTTCCACTCCTTACAGCAGCTCAAGGACAATCTGTATCAAAATCACTTGGAATGAATGTCTTTCGTAAGCACAGATTTCTAAGCCTTCCTCAGAACTACTGCTTCATATTAGAGGTGTGAGTGGCGAGGGAAAAAGCTGCAAGCTTTAAAACCACCAGAGGTGATTTTTGTATGTCCTCAAGACTGAGGTCCACTATCCCAGTGATTTGCAAAGTGTAGTCCCTGGACCACCAGCATCAGCATCACCTGGGAACTCATTAGAAATGCAGATTCTCAGTACTCATCCCAGACCTTCTGAGTCAGAAACTTGGGTTGGGGCTTAGCCATCTGAGTTTTAGCAGGCAGCACATGTGATTCTGATACAGGCTAAAGTTTAGGAGCCATGACTCATCCCACGACTTTGGTGTGCCACATCTGCTCTGTGTTTGTAATGGAGCCGAAAGCAAGTGGGTGTCTAGTATTAAAGAACAGAAGTGAGAATTTGTTTCCAAAGGGTTCCAGGTGCACTAGGTTATAATATTATTTTACTTATCCAGGACCACTGAACATCCATCCATCCATCCATCCATCCATCCATCCATCCATCCATCCATCCATCCATCCATCCAAACATCTATCTAACAAAACACTTTTTAAGATCCAAATATACAGACATTATCTAGAGATACTACCATGCATTTTAACCACAGCATCTGCAATATAAAAATTCCATGGAAAATTCAGCCCCTCCTACTTCCTTACCAATGCCATACACGTAGCTCTTTGGAATTATGTGATGAAAAATGGGTAGTTTAATTCTAATTAAATTGCAACTGTAGAGCCAGTGGCAGCCTAGCACTTTCATCAAAGATGCTATGTTAACAGTATTTAAAACACATTCTGTCTATTTTCAGGATTAAAGAAGGGCAGGATAATTTGTAATAAATGTTAAATACTAAACCAAACTCAGCCTTGGGCTTACTCATAGCTTTAAGCAGTGCCAGGCCTTAGGGTAACTTCAGCTGATGTTCTTTTCAATGAATTTTATTGAGAAATTAGAAGCAACAGTTTCGTCTTCGAGTGAGGCTGCAATTGAGCTCAAGGGAATTTGCAGGGCTCTGTTTTACTTTTTTTTTCTAACTTTAATCTGTTTCTGATCCACAAATTAGCTCTTTTTAAAAAGCCAGTGTGTCTTTTGACTTTGAATCAATGATAGAGTATTAGAGTTGGAAAGGTATTTAGGGACTGCCTCCTGCCAATTCCCCGGGGGTGTGTGGGGGGGAGATGGCCACCTGCCCTAGGAGAGACATTGCAATGTCTGGAGACATTTCTGTTGTTGTCATAATTGGAGGATGCTACTGGAATCTCACGGGTAGAGACCACGGATGCTGCTAAGCATTTTACAGTGCACAGGACAGCCCCTCACAACAAAGAATTATCCAGTCAAATGGTCAATAGTGAGAGTCAAATTGTCAATCCTATTTTTTTTTTTTTTT